CGTGTTCTGAGAGATGATTTTTAATTTGTGTGGACAAGTTATCTTTTTTTTCAAATCTAATAACTTAGTCTTCTTAAAATGCTTGTGTGACCACTTGATTTAAATTAATTCATGTAATTTTAAATCCTTCGATTCAAATTCGTACTTTAGACTTTAGTAGAGATCATCTGTGCATTAATGAAACAGGAAAATTTTACAATTGCTTGATTTGTATTGGCATGTATTTTGAATGGGTTGAAGTATATTAGGGTAGTATAGAGGGTCCTGGGGTGGTACACTGGGAGTAGGGCTTGATCCCACGCCAACCTGTTCTCACATACACGAAACCACCAAAAAGCTTTTATAATACACAATTCATCACTGTGAAACTTGCATTTTTTCAAAGACGTCCAGCAAGTCTGGATTGACTGTATTAAAGAATGTCTCTTTTTATATCAATATAGATTATACTCTAACAAATGCATAAACACGGATGAACAATCTTGTCAAAAAATAAAACATTTTCAACAATTATAAAACGACATCTATTTTGAAGCGGCTTTATTTTATTATCGTGATGGGCCTCAGACCAAGAAATATTTTTTTCTATCTATTCCTTATAACAAACCAGAAACTATTTGTTAATGTCTTCGCACGCATATGGTATTTTCAATTTGTATTTTATTCATTTCAAGAGAATTGGTTTTATTCGTGAATTTTAACTCCAACTTATTATCTTGTAAATTGGTTTCCATAACTGTTCATAGCGCAATTTTATAGCTTTATGAATTATACGGAATAACATTCCCAAGCATCCGAGAACAGGCAATTCCTTCTTATTAGGAGAAGAATTATTAACAGGTCTCGAAAGATTTCGTTGTCAATGAGTCATAAATTATCAATTTTTCACGAGGCAGATGCTTCCATTATGGAAATAGTCATTATTTGCCAAGTTTAGAAAAGAAGTCAATAAAATGATGGTTTGAACAGTTTTCGGGACACTTAAGCATGAAGATTCCTACAGATATAAGAATTAGGATTCCATGTTAGGTAGTTTCGTTTCCATGTTATTGAGATGTAAGTCGGAACCTAGTGTGCTGTTTGGCGCCAGTGTCTTGTGTTTATTTTGTCCGGATGCGGTAAATTCTACTTTTAATGCAGCATTTTCAGCGCAGATGTAGACATAAAAAGTAAAAGGAAAAAGAATTGTAGCAAATTATCGACCTATATTTGTTCAGAAAAATAAACGATGAGAAAAATATGTAAAAAAAAATCGTTTACATCATAAACAGTTATAAAATTTCACAACAGCAAAATTCGCACTTTATATTACACGTATTTCATCCTGATTATTATTAAAGGAACTCCATTGAGGTCCAAAGACCTAAAACATAAATGTTGATGTTCTTACATAAGTCAGCTGGGGGAGTTTAAACAGAAAGATATGCAAAAGATAATTAAGAAATAGTACTCAGAAATAATTAATTTAGAACAACGGGATTTGCTTATAAGTTATTGGTAAAGACTTGCATCGGATGGCACATAATACTCGAAAAGTTATTTTCAGTCACGTCATATAAAAAAACCCTAGTGGAGTTCCTTTAATTTAATATGAACATGTCTTTCCTTTTGTATGGAGTAGGATGGATTCCTTATTTAAGCTCGTAATTAAATTTTTCTTATATAAGTTATAACATCTTATTAATATCATATAACATTATATCATATCATATCATAGCATTGAAATGATTTTGTTCTTGAAGAAATTTGCGTTCAGGACTTATCACCCAAAACAAACCATTTTACAGTGTCAAAATGTAACATTTCCGTCTCTAACCAGATATTTTACACTGACTGAAAATCTTTCTCAAAGTTCGCGTCTATATATATTTTGTTGTTCTATAGATAAAATGGAAATTCCATCCTCAGGCGTTTATAGGATACCAATCAGTTTATGAAGACAATTTCTCGTATACACACCATCATAAAAGTAGCATTGCTTCTATCACACCATCTTTAGTTTATTCTATACAAAACTCAGTAACACATTTTAATGTTTTACGTGTTTCATAATGCGCAACAAAAAAATAAATGTTCGATAATGGCAATGATAATTTCCATGTAGCACTCTAAGAAGTGATTATTTAGTGTTTTTATTCGCAGATGTCCGTTCTTTGCGCGCTGTTTCTGAGATATAAAGAAGATAAATTTACATGTTTCCGACATTTCTCCATGTCTTTAATTAAAAAACACCTGCCAGCACATTCATTTAAGTTCAAAGAGTAATAACTGCGCATTCTATTTTTTATTACATCCCCTGTTTAAGTATAGTTAATAATTATGGGCAGGTTTGTGAAGTCTCTTGTACGTTTGTTATTTAAATATAAAAATACACCACTGATAGCGTATTATCTAAAATTGTTTAAATATGAAAAACAAGATCATCAAGGAAAGGCGGCGTTCAATAAACGAAACCCTACACGACCAATGCTACAACACAGGACCACCGGCAAAGAGCCGAGCAGGACACTAAACAAAAATAGGCAAAGCAAGGAGTGGGCTTACGTCATGTTTTTGTCTAATTTTACGTGTCTGATTTTACGTGGTAATAATTAAAATTGAAGTGGTCATTATTAAAGTACCGTGACATGTTTTGTTTCACCTAAACTTTTTTAAAATTTAAATTTTATTTGTTTATTTTAAACAATTTCACACATTTAGAATTTACATGGAAAACTTTATCATCACTTTTGTCATCATCTACAATTCATATTTATAACAATATATATATAATTTTCTAACAGAAATTGTGTTACCTAGATAAATTTAGCATCACATTATTTAGTAACGAATCGTTCTTTTAAACAAAATTTGACACAAAATTTAACACACTTTTTTATAAGAATAACAAATATTGTAATACACGAAAGAAGAAAAAAAATGAAATACAACATAGAGTAGATTCTTCAGTGAAAGGAACAAAATGTGCTCCATTAACCCCCATAAATAAAAGAGTGTGAGAGAGCTTGTCAACAATTTTTCGAAGAAATATGGCAAAACAATATATAAAACATAATTTATGGGACTATTTAAACATTTCAGATATTAATGAACGAATCGTTTTAGCAGGAGGTTTTATTGAAGTGTTCAAGTGTAAGGTATATTACTCCATTACTTTGTTTACTTTCATCTTAAGAGCACACCAAACTTGCAAATAATATCAGACTTTAATTTGCTAACATTGTGAATCATATGATATATGAACAGTTATAACTTCCCTGAAATAAATCATCATATAAATTTAAAACAGTTTTTTGTACTTCAATATTAATTTATCCGATAAAAGATAAGCGATTTTAAAAAACGACTTTTTTTATTTAATTTTATAGGACTTTATTAGAAGTTTGCATTTATATGAACAGTGAATCCTCTTGTTTTGCAGGGTTTGATATTACCCAGGTTTTGCATTTTTTAAACGTTTTATGTATATTCTAATTTAGAAAATGTATATTTTAGTGTCCTGATACCTTTCAGTCGACTACAAAGTTTAACATTCATTTATATTTTCACCTAACGTGAAGAGAAAATCAAAGTATAAGTTGTTTTTTAACTGCAATGCGGGTAATAAAGTAACAAGCAATCAAAGAGGGCGTCAAATAGAAAATGTAATTGGTAGGTTTTTGCTAACACTTGAAATTATACGATTAACTAGAACCTTCATTTCGCAGGAAATAATAATTTGTTTCATAAGATACACATTATGCTGTTATATTCATTGGGTATTCATAGTCAATAAAACTTCATATTGATCTGTAGATAAATACCGCGAACAATACGAAATGCAAACAAAAATTTTTCTCGTTGAAATTTGTATGAAAAAAAATGACATGGAGTCTTAGTGAAAAAGGGGAAAACATTAATCATTCAATAGTAAAAAGACTTCTAAACTCTACTAAAATACTAAGGCAAATATACATGTAGACAGGGTATCACAGAAATGGAGTATAGGCGATAGAATATTGACTTCCATGTGAAAAACACAAGTAATAAAAACACTGTCGCAGAAATGAAGAAACGGTGACAGGAATGCTGTCTACAAAATCAAAATAATTTTTCCCTTTTTTGGTCACGTGTGTCACCTCCGGTGAGATACTGTTAATAGAACAGTGTATAATGATATAATAGCTAAAGATCCGCCATGTCAACTGGGCTCTGTTCGTACGACCGTTACACATATTTTACTCACTATTTCAACATCTATGCCAGTTTAACAACTTAAACGACCATTAATCAGCATGCTTCCCGCGGCTTAATGGTGCATGTATTATATTTATGTTTGATATCATCGTACCGAGTATTATCACTATATTTTATCGTGCTTCAAATCATTACCTTATCCAAATAATTTGTTACATTTTTTGTTCTATAATGTGTCGAGAATGAATAATAAAACGTACCTTGTTTCATGCTTTTTGTATCTGGAGAATTATTTTACTTGTATTTTACTGTGTATATGAGTTTACATGTATGTGTACAACGTGAATGTATCTGTAAATTGTTCATGTTATTATTTGTAAGAATTTTATTTATTATTGTGCCATGTTTCAGTATATAAACAAATGGACGGACGGAAGTATTAATTGGCATTAATAAAGATTGAGTTGTTAAATACATACATAGTAATAGAAGGCCGCCTTCTACCACTATGTATATATTTAACAACACAATCTTGGCCAGTTTATTTATTTTCATATCATTCATAAACATACAAATAAGTATACAACTTCCAAAGAACGGACGGACGACACATAAAAATGTTCATTGCATATTACAATACAGAATAACAATGTATGATAGCGTTATAAAGTTAAATCACAAAACGACAAAATGATATTTGATAGAAATATAACAGTTGCTCTAAAGGCCCTTTATCAGAAAAATAAATCCATTAAATAGAAGGAGAATATAGAAATTCAAAATTCAATTTATAGCGAAAAAGAACAAGATTAAAGATAACTTACAATGTTATAAAAGTCATTTCAATGCAGACGCAATATCCAATAACTCATAGCATCACGTCACATCTATCAACTTATCATCAGCTTTCATTCGACTGAATATTCCTTTTCTATCAAGATTATCAATAGAATAAACGGACTATCCGACACTTTGTTTAACGAATTCCTGTCGGAGTAAATATCCTGCACGCGCTTATTAAGTTTAGAGAATACGGTATATTAGCTCTATATATCGCACATTATATTTTAGAGTTGTATCAATAATAACAGCATCCTCTTCTATTATTACCCTCCTGTTATAACACTTATCATGTGATGTAGATAAAACAAGCGCGGGAAAAAATCATTGGATGTCGTCTGCGACAATGAATGTAAATTCTGCAGCAGACTCACAAACAAATAAAACGAAATATCTAGAAAAAAATATGCTCCAGCATATTCAGCCGTTAAAAGTAAATGTTAATACGAATGCGAGGTTTTTAACACTAAATTAACTGTTGCTACGCACCGACAATCTATCGAATAAAAATGATAGCTCCACGCAGACAATTTAAATCTAACTTTGTGAAAAGCTATTCAGATAACTTCAAATCAACCTCGTTTCACTTTAACATTATACCGTTCGTCCACGGTTGGATTTAATCCTAGAAATTTGATAGAATATTTAGACATGTTCAAATAAAGAAGAAAAACTTTGATATTTGAATTTCAAGTGCGTGTTTGTAATACAGATGTAATAAAACTTTACTACACTGGTATAAAACACACATATTGTTTACATATTTAGTATAAAATTTGTAAGTCAATATTCGAGCTACTGCCAGACACGCAACCCTTTCCAGCTCGGGTACACGGTGCACATTTAACGTTTAGTTAAGTTTTTTGTTCACCACCGGAATACGTAAGTGTTATTTTTCACGAAACCGGCGTATAAAATTATTTAAATTTGCATTTATATTGCGACTTGTTCACCTCAGTATGATTATAGTAATTGCCTGCCATCGTCAGTCTAACCTGAATATATACATTCACAACAACAAATATATTGTATACAAAGTTTCTTCACAATAAACTAGACATATTATATTCAGACGCGTATGAAGAAGAAAAAAAGTCATGTTGATGTCACGATATTATAAACCGTTTTTATTTGCAACAAATTAGTGAATAGATCGTCACATAGTTAAAGATCATTTTGATGAACGTCGCCTCACATAAAGTTTGATTTTATGATATGATCATGATACCCGAATGTATGGGACGATCAAAATGTTCACACTGAATAATGAACATTGTCATGAAATGCATACATATACTGGTAATTATAATAAATGCTAATGCGGTTACATTTTGCATCAACGTTACTTATAAAATTTGTACTATGGGTGGCAATATTTGAGTCTTTTGGAAGCCTGGACGGTTTAAAACAGGATAAAAAACATGAAGTTGAAATTGAAACGTTAAAAGAAATCCTACTAGATAAGTTACAGAAATATTCGACGTTAGTCATCTATAAATTTGCAACAACTTGGTTAACAATATTGCTTTTGATTGTGTCACCAAATTCACCTCCATCTTACTCTTAAGGGATAACTATCTAGTCTGTATGTTCATCTACGTTGGCCATTAATTCTACCTGATTATGGAAAAGTTCAGTTATAATAGCCGAATCCTAATTACACGGGCAAGATAAATCATTGTATTCCATCTTACTTGCCTGAATTTACACCGACTCTATGAAAGTTGGTGCTCACCCAGACCTGCCTGGACTTACACCGACTCTATGAAAGATTGGCGCTCCCTCAGACCTGCCTGGACTTACACCAACGCTATGAAAGATGGTGCTCCCCCAGACTTGCCTGGACTTACACCAACGCTATGAAAGATGGTGCTCCCCCAGACTTGTCTGGACTTACACCAACGCTATGAAAGATGGTGCTCCCCCAGACTTGTCTGGACTTACACCAACGCTATGAAAGATGGTTGCTCCCTCAGACCTGCCTGGACTTACACCACGCTATGAAAGATGGTGCTCCCCCAGACTTGCCTGGACTTACACCAACGCTATGAAAGATGGTGCTCCCCCAGACTTGTCTGGACTTACAACAACGCTATTAAAGATGGTGCTCCCCCAGACTTGTCTGGACTTATACCAACGCTATGAAAGATGGTGCTCCCCCAGACTTGCCTGGACTTCCACCTGCTCTGTGGAAATTGACATTCCCTCAGACTGAACTGAACTTACACCGGCTCTATGAAAGATGATATCCCTCAGTCCTGCACGGGTTTTGTCACTGTCAGCTGTCATAAAATTGAACTTTTTTGGGGTTATTTTAAGGACATGTGTATCTGAATAAATCGTGTTGAAAATAAAACTTCTTTTATAAAATAATCATTCGAATAGATTATTAGATACTGTGTGCGCTTGAAAAAAAATCTTTTCCGTCATTAGACACCATCTGTTTCCTAAGTTCAATATAAAAATGTCTAGTGTAAATTGAGATGTTTAAATCGAAGGTTTTAAGCTTATATTCTATACATTTAAAATATGCAAAGCTGGTCTGCTCACACATTACGTATTCAATTACTAGCTTGAAAGAGTTTGAATAAAATAAAACTACTTTGAAGAAAACAAATTAAAAAGAAATCGAAATTTTGAATAGAAAACAGCAGGGGTTAAATAGTTTCGTCATTACTCTAGTGTTATTGGAAACACGGCCCCTAGTGGGAATGGGTTACATTTGGGCAAATTGTAAAGAATTTGATGAAAAGAATTTGCATTTGATTTGACTTCACCGCGAATTAATTAAACGCATGCCTGCTATTCTATACCGAATATAGCATGAAGTGTAATCATGGGCTATTCCTTGGCTTATGGGAGTATACACAAAATAAATCTTTTTATCGACGTCTCTTATAAAAAAAAAGATGGCTTTAAGATTTATTATTTATAGACACAAATAAATCGCTCTAAATATTTATTTATTCTTAAAAGTGGGAATCAAATTTTCTACAGACGTATACTTTAGAAAGTAATTTTGTATGTATAAGTAAAGTTAAAATTATCCAGATATATAGATACGTCGGGAACAATAACTTTTTAAAAAATTATTTCTGGTTTTATTGTTTTACAAAGATCAAAAAGGTACAACCAATCTACAGACCGGGGACCGCTTCACGATACGCCATATAAGAAAAAAATGATCAAATTATAAATCTTACTTAAAATGTAATACAGCAATACTATGAAAGGACATGGGTAAAAAAGAAAAAGTTACTTGTCATAAAAATTTAAATAAAAATCACGCTACCTGATATTTGTTACATGTCTGGATGTTTAGTGTAATTAAATCAAGTTTGTATCTCTTTAATCAGAAATAATCAAATGACAAAGTCGGTAATAGTGGGCACTCTACGAGGTCGAATAACTTGTGTATCTCACTTTATTATACTTGTTGATAATCTTGAAGAAAATATATGGAAGATACATCTCTATAATGTAACATAATGAACAAGAAAAAGATTACAATTAATACTCAGCTTTTTGCTCGGCTATGCTTCGATTTTTTTGTCGGGGATCCAACTAATTTCAAATAATCATGCAGCAGGTAATACGTATAGATGAGCTTAAACAAGGAGACATTAATGTTCCGTCAAACACTCATGAGATGATCAGTGTGGCAGACTGGGAGACTTTATACTTTCTTTCTCTTAATTTCATCTGATTTAGTTGTTAAAGTATTGTGATTAAGAAACGTATATGTATGTAGCATTGAATCTTCAAAAATTAATCTTACTTATTAAATATGAAAGTAAAGATCAGCAAAAGAAAAAGAGACGTTCACTGAACGTTGCTCTTAACAAAATCAATCCACAGAGGTCCATTGGTAAGGTACCCAACATACAACTCACATTATCAAAACCGGGGTCTTTAATATCTGTAAAAAATGTTTCTGTAACCCTAATACATCTCTTGAAAGTTAAGCAGCTTTGTTTTGCCAAACTATATTGTAGTCGGTAATTGATTATTAATGAGCCTTTTATTTTTTTGTATGTGAAATCTAAAACAGACTTGCAAGAAAAATAGACTGGTTTAGCATTCTTATGTCATTAACGTTACATTCTAAAGGCAAAAGTTTCAGACCGGTACCAGAAAACTGTGCATGTTGTAAGACAAAGACGATCATTTGAATTGACTTGCGCAGCTTCCATTTTGGAAATGTCCGGATGTAAGAAAGTTAGTTTGGAAGTTGGCCAACCAGAGTAGTATAGAGCCTGGTCAGACTAATGGTTGTCATGGTGGTGTGGTTCATGTAGAGTCAATCTAACCGACTCCGCAATTTTCATGTTATTTTGTTGCAATAAGTGCTTCCGAGGGATCACACTTTATCCAGATTTTAATAGGGCGACAAAGGTGTTGCTGTTTGGATTTCAGTATAAAAAGGTTTTAGACTAAAGGTTGGATACATTAATGAGCTACCTTTCGTTAATTTAATTGAAAATCAATGTAGTTAATTTGTCAGATTAATTTCCAAGCGACGTGGTTTGATATTACATGTAAATCATACCTGAAACTAAAGAAATAAAAAGTGAAGTATTCAACAATTTGGGTAAAGACAATAGGAATAAGAACTCAAACTTGGATTCTTTATGCTAGATACGAGATTTTAAATTCTACAAATAATTTCATCATCTTAAGAATTTTTCATTAAATTTTAACAGATGTGTACAGGACGGTTGGGTTTACACAGGAAAAGACTGGTTAACAAAATACTGAGGGCAAGTTTTAATCAGGTTCTTTATCTATCAACAGACACGTTTACTTTCGGCATTGAATCATCGGAGCTACAGGTGTTCGTGATAATTAGTTTGTTAGATCGCATTAGATTTTCTTTTCACCTTTCTAGTTAAAATATTTACATTTAATTTGAATAGACATTTTGTTTGTTCACAAACCACTCGAGTCAAACTATTTCGACCGTCGAGGTAAAATAATCTTTAAGTTTCCCCATTTAACAAACGATCTATATTTTCTCTAAATTTGAATGATTCATATACTTCAATATATAATAAACGTACCAAATTGTAATGAACTAGTTAAATCCATTTTATTTAATTAAAATATATATAAGAAATATTTTACAGAGTAGTTTTATCCTTGTATAGTTCTAATGGTTAAAAATATTTGACTTTCATGCCCTAGTAGATACATGTGTGTATGTCATTTTAACTGCATGTATATGATAGAACTTAAAAAAATAACTTTGCATTATAAAAGATATTTCAACGAGCATATACTCATGAAAACAATTCTTTATGACTGTGGTTGTTTGTTTAAAAGTTGGTTGTTTATATTATCTTGCCTTATTTATACGTGTTACTTCTTTTATGTCGACTCTACAATTTAGGTTCACAAACCAATTAAAATGTTCATAAATTAAAACATGTTATCAAATTACTATTTATATATTTGTCAACATTCAGATGTCAAAGCATGCACTATTTTATACCGCCACTTTATGAGCAATTTGAAGATCTTAATAACACGAAATTTCGGAAATGGATTTAAGAAAGTAAACGAATCGTGCGTGTTACCATTTGAACAGTTAACAAGTTTTGTGACAAAACCCTAATCCGGACTTGTTAGCAATATTTGTTTTAGTTCATATGGTCCTAAATTTTGTTTGTCTGCCTGATTCAATATTATCACGAAAGATCAAACAGTTAATACAGTGTTTTGTCGTACAAATGCGTACAATTTAATGGTAAGACTTTTATTTGTACGCTCACACGCACGGATT